ATCACTTGCAGCTGTTTCTCCCCACTCCCCCAGCTGTGTACCTGCGTACCCCATTCTGACCCTTGTTACTGGTTTTCATTGCTTGGTACAGCTCTGTGGGAAGACCTCAGAGCCACAGGAGTGCACACTCACAGCCAGGGCGCTGCAGCTGCTGGGAGCTCAGGTTAGGCTTGTCTCCTGCAGCGGCCTATGCCACCAGGCTCATCCGTAGCTAGACCCACTAGTTCTGCACCTGCCCGATGCCCTTCATCAGCCTCTACTACCATGCCTGTGTTCCTGAGGAGACTCTGAGCAGGCCACAGGGTTACATGCCAGCACTCAGGCCCTTGTGACTTCCAGTGCACCAGCAGCTGGCCCACGTCACTGCTGCTGTCTCTGGCCCCCACCAGAGGGTGTAGCTGCCCGTGGCCTCTGTCACGCGTATCTGTGTAGCCCTGCATTTAGTTCCTGCCTCTAGACCTGGGGTTGCAGCATCTTCTAACAAGCTCCCAGTCACAGGTGACGCTCTTCCCTTACTTATAAATGAGTCCCTGAAGTCTTCAAGAGGTGACTGCATCTTCAAATATGCAGATATTTACAAAGCTCAGGGATTATAAGGAATTAGAAAAGCATACCAACACCAAAGGAAACCTCTTGTAACTGACCTTACACAAATGGAAATGTGATAATTGCCTGACAAAGGATTAAAAAAAATTATCTGGAAGGCGCTTAGATAGCAACAAGGATATACACACAATTTAACAAAACCAGGAAAGTAATATAGAGCAAAGTGAGAAGTTCAGCAAAGAGATAGAACGTTAGTGATGGCTATTCTTCAACATTCAGGTTTGTTCCAGTCCAGCACAGCATGATCTTGAAGAGCAAGAACAAATGCTGCTAATGGGTCTGGTTCACTGAAAGCAGTGAAACTAACAAAAACTCAAGAAGGGACCCTATCAAATATGGAGAAACTTTTAATGATTTGTGTTGAAGACCAGGTTTTCTTGTTAGCACCCCTGACATTCATGACCAAAGCAAGAAGGCTATTTTTAAGTTGGGGGGAAAAAGCTGAACCCAACAATGGGGCTAAATTTACCTCTAGCTGTATGATGTTTGCACAATAATGCAATTGCCTAATAACATACTTTTCAGAATGTATTCTTGCTGTTAAGAGATGTGTGATTGTACTATGACTGTCTGAAGAATTCGGTGGAAAGTTTCAACAACAGACTGGACCAAGCAGAGTAAAGCATCAGTGAATTTGAAAACCAATCATTTGAAATTATCCAGTCAGAGGAGTGAATTGAAAAAAGAATGAAAGCAATGAAGAAAGACTTATGGAACTTATGTAACACCATTAAGAGAAACAATTTATGTGTCATTGGAACAGAGAAGAAGTAAAGAACAGAAAGTATTTAAAGAAACAATGAAAATTTCTTAAAACTAGAGAATGACTTGATATTCAGTTTTATGAAATTAATAGTTCACTTCATAATTTCAATCCAAAATGATCTTCTTCAGACAATTTATAATAAAATTGTTTAAAATCAAAGACAGAAGATTGGTTTTCCACACATTAATCTTAGGATGTCCCATTGCCCTGTGGTATCAGGCCTCTGGGGACTTGGGACAAAGGGAATATCTGCTTGTACAGAGAAGGACTTGAGAGGCTTATGTATCTGGTGGTTTCCATTTCTTTACTTCCAAAGGAAAGAGAACCTAACTAAGTTGTTGATTAGTCATTAAGTTGTTAATGTTAATTAATTAAGTTGTTGATAGATGACAGTGTGATATTGGCAAGTAACTCAGAAGGATTTCAAGGAACCAAATGACATTGGTTTGATAGAATTCCTTTCATTATATAATGGGTTCTTCCAGAGCTTACATTTAAGATACCAAAATAAAAATAGGATTGATGCTGAATTCTCATTCTATTATGAGTAATATATAAATATATATGCATATATTTATGCAAACAATAATTTTCATCCAGATACATTGCTAATAAAAGTAACCTTTCATAATATAATGTTTATGTAACATTTTGATGAATTAGGTAATAACTAAAAGTGTGATGATGATTCAGTCTCTGTGAATGAAGAAATTAACATTATGATTGCATAAGAAAATAGAAAAACACATTGTTGCAAAGAAATATAGGAAGATCAGTAACATACTTTCAAGCTTAACATATCACATCAACATGAATATGATGTGTGGCAGAGTGGGAGCCACTTGGGTGCTTCCTCAGTGCCCATCACAGCCTGTCCACTATGTTTAGACGAGAAGCAGCTGGGAGAGGGGGTCTGTTAGGCGCATATCCTGTGCTCCAGTTTCGAGAAGAGGAGGAGGAGAAGAGGGAGTTGAAGTGAGCCACTGAGGACAGGCACATTTCAACACTCATTTCCCCCCAAATAAGTTTATGCTTTTTTCCTTTTTTTGAAGATAAAAGCAGTGTTGTTTTTTTTTTTTTTTTGGATGGGTAATATATTCATGTTATTCAAGCATCAAAACTATGTAAAAATTATCTAAAGAAATGTCTTGCACTTATACTTGTCCCCTTGTATCTTATTCGCCAGTCTCTTCTAGCCACTTTAAAAAAGAAGTTAACTATTTTGTTAATGTATCTTTTAGACTTTTCCAAATCAAATACATGCACATTGGAAAGCATTGCCTTATTATTTTTTCTGGCCTTTTTTTTTTTTTAAATGTTTGCTGTGATTTATCTCGGATCTAGTTGTATTTTATTTTATTTTTTTAAAGATTGATTTATTTATACATACAGAACTGAGGTACAGGCCTGAGGTGCAGAGGTGGTGAGAGGCTTCACCAGAGACAGATTCGGGAGCAGAACAGGCAGATTGACAAAGTGCACTGCTGAGGGAAGCAGTGAGGAGACAGGAGAAGTCTTCCATGCCATGTGGGTCACCTCCCTGGGTGGGGATGGAAGTCATGCTGAAGCAGCTGCAGTAAGTTTCGTAGCGCTGCGCTTCAACCCGTTGCACCACCAGGAGGGTTGCCCTTTTTTGGCCTTTGTTCCATAGAAGTGCACTATGGAACATTGTTAACCTCTTCCTCTTTTGAAGTTATCAGCGTGTGCTGGAAAGATTCTGTATTGGTTAGGATGCTTTCTCATTTTGTTTTATAGCTGCATAGTGTTCCATTATCTGGCTGTTCCATCATTCAATTACCCTGTTTCCTACTGACAGACACCTGAGGTATTTCCAGTCTTTTGTTATTACAAGTTATGTGTAGTGAATAATTTGGATCATGTGGTATTTCACACAGATGGTGTATATATATCCATCTCTAGGATAAATTTCCAGAAGTAAAAATGCTTTGTCAAAGGGGATGTGCATTTGTCATTTTTATAGTTGCTATCAAAATTTTCTCTATGGGAGTTGTAACAATTTTTATTCCTGCCTGTAGTGTTTAAAAATGGAGGTTTCCCCCACAGTCTTCCCAACAGAGTATGTTAAGCTTTTTGGCTCATCTGATGGGAGAAAATTGGTATCTCAAAATGCTGTTATATCAACCTTCCTTTTTGTAACATTGAGCATATTTTACTTTGTCTAAGATCTAATGGTATTTCTGGTTTTGTATATAACCTGCTAATACTTTGTTTTGTTGGATTTTTGTTCTTATTATTTTCTCATATTTTGAGGGACACCATTATATATTAAGCAAATGATTCCTTTGCTTGAGATGCAAGCTACGGATATTTTGACTTTGCTTCTAATGACTTCTGCAATCTTGGAAATTGACTTCTTGCATATTCTTTCTTGTACTCTTGTGCATACTTGGTTCATACTTATCCGCCTACCAACATACAACGCTGTTCCTTTCTTTTTTTAAAGTCTTTTTTTTTCAAAGATTTATTTATTTGTGCATACAGAACTGGGGTACAGGCCAGAGGCTCAGGGGCGGTGAGAGGCTTCACCAGAGACAGGGTGGGGGGTAGAACAGGCAATCGACGAAGTACACTGCTGCGGGGAGCAGCGGGTGGGTCGGGAGAGGTCTGCCACGCCATGTGGGCATCTCTGGGACAGGCGGGAATCGAACTCATGCGGAAGAGGCTTTAGATTCTCAGTGCTGTGCTTAAACCCGCTGCGCCACCAGGGAGGGCCAAAAGTCTTTTTTTTCCTTAAAAAAAAAAATAAGATTTATTTATGTATACAGAACTGGGATACAGGCCAGAGGTGCAGGGGCGGTGAGAAGATTCACCAGAGACAAAGTGGGGAGCAGAATAGGCAGGCAGAGCGACTAAGTACACTGCTGAGGGGAGCAGCAGGCGGGTCAGGAGAGGTCTGCTGTGCCATGTGGGTCATCTCTGGGGTTGGGGATCGAACTTGCATTGAAGTGGCTGTGGCTGCTTTCAATGCTGTGTCCTAACCCTTCGCACCACTAGATGGGCCCCTGCTTAGTGTTTTATACCTGACTCACATGTCACATTTCACCCTCCTTGATGCTTTGTCCTTCATAGAAGGTCTGTCACTCCCCCATGGCTGCTCCTTTCCTATTTTATCCTGCCTCTACTGATTATTTTTCCTTGCATATATCTAGGAACATTTTACCTTTCTCTTTTTCTATATTATCGGCCCTTAATTCAGAGTGTTTGTTTAATACATGTTGAATAAATGAATAGAGAAATTAATAGCTCTTACTACTAATCTTTATTAGTTCCTATAATGATGACGACTACTACTACTATACTACTTCTACTACTACTACTACTACTACTTAACTGATCTTGATTTTCAGATGAAACTTGTGCACGAAATACCTTTTTGTTGGAAAACAGAAGTGGAGAGGGCTGGAGAGAATGTTTTTACAGGTCATGGATATGGAGGAGGTTATTTGTAGCTTCCAGCGGAATCAACTTCAAGTTCTCCAAGGAGAACCCTCATAGGCCCACTTACATTTACTCTTTGATGGCATGTCCAAGAAAAGTCACTCACCAGGCAGAAGTATTTTTTTTTTCAGTGAAATTTATTTCAGAATTATTAAAGCAATACAATCATTATCTGAGTTTATCAGTTTTCAGTCTTGGTGAAATAAAGATATAAAGATGACACACTAGTCCAAATAAAGTTGAATTCATAGACAGTGAAGACTGGGTTCTTTCACAGACACTGCTGCCTATTGAGTTAAATTAAATAGACTAACCCCTCCATAAATAAATAAATAAATAGTTAAGTGGTCCCAGAAACAGGGAACAAAAGACAGAGGGTTTCTTTGCATCTCATGTGCAGCGGTTCCTGCCTGGCTGACTTAGCGTGAGTAGGAGAAGCAAGAGCAGCTTGGCTCAGCAGAGGTGGGGGTGTCTGAGATTGGCCTGGGAGTAAGGGGGCTTTCTTCATCCCTGGTGTCCAGGGATGCCGGCTGGGCACTGATTGGACATGTTCAGCCTACAGCCATCTTCATATGGAGCCCCATGAGTCATTCTGCACATGGAAACTCTCTGTTTGTTTCTTTAAGGAGAGAGAATTTCCATGGAGAAGTCAGTTATATCCTGGTTACCTCTGGTATTGCCTAGAAAGAGGGGCATTTGTTCTGCTTGAGAGGTGCTGATGTACCAGTTAGGGAACTGGGCAGACTCAAATTCAAAATGCTCCTTGACTGCTGTTTTATTGAAGACAAATCTTTCTTCCATCTTCCTCTTTGGGTAGCTTTTGGGGTCTACCACCTGCAGCAAAACAGAAGTAAGAATTTTTGTGAGGAAAGGGACAAAAGACACTCTGGGAAAGATGTTCTTGGGTCAGCTGGAGAGGAAACTGATGAACAGGATGAGGGGCCAGACTCCTGAGTTGTTGTTGTGACCCAGCTTTCTGTAAGGAAGCTGAAGTAATTTGTACTTTCTCTGTGACTTAATATAGGATGCTAGAAAGCAATTTTTTTTTTTTGAAAAATGAAAGTTAGGTTAAACCTTCTAGGAGTGCACATTTTCTAAGGGTTTTTGCTGTGTTTTTCCTTATGACCCTGGAGAGAATTGACATCAGCTTGGGAACGAGACTTTTGCTGGGTACACTGGTAGTTGGGGGAGGATTTTTGGGCAGTGAGTGGAGAGAATGACAGGTGACAGGTCTCTTGAATGGGTACATTCTTCAAAGTGTGATCTATCCATGGAACACCCTAAAAATCTACAACTTTTCCAACCCACATGTTGCATAATGTGTTGGAGGTGGTAACAATGGCAGGATGTAGGAGCTTCAGCAAAGTAATTTAATTTTCTGTGGTGGCAGTGAAAGTTGCATGCATTTAACAATTTCATTCAATTTATTTACAATTGTACACAATTGTCAAGTAGGTCTGCTCCCTGACTCAGAGAGGTGGGGAGGCATTTGTCTTAGAAGTGAGTGATGACTAGGGGTACTGCGGAGGAGTCTGAGAAGGGCCCTCAGTCCCTGCTATTCACTCACCTCCAGCTGCAGGGTGGGCTTTCCGTCTTTCATCACACATGACAGGTACATATTCTTATCCTTGAGGCCCAAGGCCACGGGTATCTTGTCATCAGTTTCTTCTCCTTGCACATAGCTCATGCAGAACACCACTGGAGAAGGAAGAGGGGCCTTGTGGTCAGGGACACACAGCAGTGAAGGGTTGGCCCAACTGGACCCTGAGCCCAGGGCCCACACACTGTGGCATCCCCTGCAGGGACTACACTGTGATCCTATGACCTAACTGGCAGGACAACTTAGCTTCTCATAAATAACATCAGGGTCTGTTGGTTGATTATGAGTGTCCCCACAGAAAGTCTAGGGGTTCTCAGTGTCTCATTGCAGTGGCAGTGGAGCATTAGGACATCCTAATTTTTGAATAGTGAAGGAAGCAAGGAAGTCGTCATGTCACTGGCAGGTGATGCACAGATCAATGTATAAAGCAAGGAAAGCGATAAAGTGGGACCATAAATAAATCAGGTATCAGATCTGTTTCTGCAGCTTAGAGCAGCAAGTGGGAAGAACTTGGGAGAGGAGAGGCTTAGCTGGGGAAAGTGTCTCTAAAGAAACACTCGTTTTCATCTTAATCAAAGCTGTCTCACTTGAAGGCCCCAATACCATATTTATAACAGTTCTAAAGACACATCTGTCCTGGCTGAGGACAGGAAGCTTCGCCCCATGGATGCTGCGTTTTGAGGGCAGTAGTCTTGGGAGAGATCAGGCTGCTCCTTTCAGCTGCTCCCTGGGTGGGAACCCTGTACACAGGCTTCAACCACAATGGCAAAGTGCCAGGCAGATCCCCACAATGAATGGGCTTCCCAGACTGGAAACATTTGCCAGTTACAATAGGGAGATATAAGTTCCTGCTTGTCAGTAAAATTTCCCCATATGGAATTATCTGGTACTGAGAGGGAAGGATGTTAGGGGCAAAAGGGCAATGTTAGGAATGAAGATGGACACATTATCTCTTCACCATTCAAGTTGCAACCTCAATAACAGGAAGAAAGAACCCACAGGCAGTTAGGGCATGCCCATCAAATGCCCCCCGTTCTCTGGAAGCACTGACACTGCACTAGCTTTCAATGACCTGGCATGACAATGGTCCTGGGTATGCTTGAGCAGCCAATTCTAAAAGTCCCCTCTTCTGCTAAAAATGAATGTGCTAAGAGAACGAGTCTGCATCATTGCTAGAATAAATGACAAAGCATATGTGTTCTTTATTATATACTCTATATGATCATTTCCTTGATGTTCCACTTCATTGAAAATGTAAAGCAAGCTGCCAAGAAAGGAATCAGGATGCCCCCCTTACCTTGCCGGTTCAGAGACTCTCCTGTAAGGTGGAGTGCGTACAGCTGACACGCATCAGACAGCACCAGGCTCTTCTGTTCTATGTCCTGGAGCCTGCAGTTCAGCCATCTTGGGGGTGCGTCACACTCAAAATTGTCATCAACCCAGATGATGGGTTCTGAAATGTGAAGCACATAGGCTGTTTGTGTAGGAAATCAGAAGGACCCACCGATGATGTGAGGCAACAGAATTCTATTTCCAAAAGGACATCTGAGCATGCCCAGCATCGTCCGATTGTGACATTGGTGGAGAGGACATTGGATGTGTGAGATATTGAACCTTATGCAATATGGTATGGATTCAAGTTTCAGTTCTATTGTTTGCTGTGGATCATTAATACAGCTACTAATGTAAAAATACACAATGGTGAGGACACCCACCCAGTGGGGACATTGTGAGTTGCAGGAGATAATGTAAGTGAAAGCACTCTGAGAATGATTGAGTGGTTTGCAAATATGAGTAGTGAGTTAGCTACCACTGCCAATATACTTCTAGAGCACAAACAACATGGTGAACCAGTGTTACCCCAATAATAATAATAATAATAATAATAATGATAATAATAATAAGAAGAAATAATTACTTTCCTCTTGTCTGAGTCTTCTACATTGATTGATTATTGGGTAACATTGGCTTACATTATTGCAGGTATTTTGGGAGTGAATGATCCCCCTTTCAGATACAATTATCATAAAGCACCCACTACCAAATCACCCACAACCCACCCCTCTAGTCTGCTATCCTCCCTAGCTCCCTTGCCCTCTGGATGCTTCAGTTCTACAGTCGACTTTCAAGGGCTAATTGTCTTTATCTGACCCTTACTTTGGGGGTCTTCTATTTTTAAAAGGCTTTGGCACACCTGAGTTTAGTTGACTGTTGGGTTGTGAACTCTGGGAAGGAAGCCCGCAAAGATGGCCTCTCTGCCTCAGCTCTCACAAAGTACCTTCCTCAAAGATGAAGGAAAAGAGGCTCCGGAGGTTGCCATCCTGGAAGGTCAGTGAGTCAGGAACGAGCATGTTCCGCAGCTTCTCCATAGTCACAATGATCGACACCACCTGCCTGAACTTCTTGTTGTAGAACCTGTGGGAGACTTGGAGCTGGATGCCATCATCTTCCTGAGAAATGAGGTCTGGGTCTTGGAAGCAGTGCTGTGGAGAGACCAAGAAAGTGAGTGTGTTGAGGTGGTTGGCTCAGATAACCCCCATTTGGAGCTCAGAGAGGTGGAAAGAATTTTCGAGAGCACTGAGTTTCTACAGAGGAAATCTTGTCTCTTAGAAGCTCAGAAAGCATAAGTGGCTTCTCCAAGGGCGCGTGGCAAGTTAGAGGCACATCCTACACCAGAATGTGGGCTTTCTGATGGCATAGTTGATTTTCTTTTAGAATAAGTCCTAGTTCTACCTAGCTTATCTTTTTTTACACTGCTCCACCTAACTGATCTTACACCTTCTTACACTTTATAACTTTTTGTGTCGTAATCCTCTAACATCTTCATGCATCTATGTACATTCAACACATTTTCAACTATTTTATAGAAATTTGGATTTTTTTTGAGAATGCTATCTCATAAGCATTCTACAAATACTGTAAAAGTGGGTGCTACTTGTGAAATATGTTCCCACTTTCTCATTGCTTATAGAAAATGAATTAAAGCTTAACTAGGGTTAGCTGGATTCATGATAATCATCTGGGAGACAAGTTTCTACCCAGAGCAGAGACCCCAGATAAGAGACACTTACAGTTGGAAGAGATAATGGGGGAGAGGCCAGAAAGACAGTCCCACAGCAATGGGGTGGAATGGCACTATTCTGTATAATGGTCCTACCTGGGATGGTGTCTGTGCCAGAAGCTAGCAGGCATCATACAGAAGAAAAGGGACAGTTGGGAGTCAGTGTGACCCTCCAGAGGGCAGTCAGTCAGACACTCATGTTCTGGGATAAACTTAGCTTTCACTACCAGTGTCTTGGAACTACACTGGCAGTATGCAAGGATCTCAGCTCATTTAGTTCAAGCCCTGTTATCTTTCAGAGGAGGCCAGAGGGGTGAGATGACTTATGCAAGGTCACATTGCAATTGAATGATTTTCATTCCAATCAGTATTTTGTTTACATTGTCTGCATCTTGTTAAAATCTCCAGCCCTGGGAGCCAAAAATTCTTGTATCCATAAAGGGGGCATAAAGACATAAGCTTATTGTCAAGGTCATTTCTTCTGGTCTCAGAGTTTGACTCAAGTGATTAGCATAGCCTGAACTCCTCTCCTAAAAGGAGAATCAAATTTGTACTGAAGTCTTGTCTGTCTTCCTAACAGGAGGCAGTAGACATCACCACAGTCAGTTGCCCTTGCCTTCTGCAGACATGGCCACCTCAGCAAGGCGCAATGAGAGAGTGTGGTGGTGCAGGAGCTGCAAAGTGGCCTGCTGAGCACGCAGTGTGGCCTGTGTCTGCCTCACTGGATGAGATGAAAGTTATCTGATTGCAAAATACTCTGGGAACAAAGGGGCTCAGAACCCTTTCCATTGAGTCATTCCCAGTGAGAGTGAAGACTGGGGTCTTACCTTCATCTGTTTTGGGCTATTGGCCTCGAAGAACAGGTCATTCTCACTGTTGCTATTAAAAAAAAAATAGAGATTTTTTCAGTTGAGTCTCCTAGACAAGTTTATGTTTCCTTCTCTGCAAGAAGTCTTCCTTAGAAGGAAGTTAGTAGGAAAGTGCACACAGCACATCCGTTGAAGCTGCCAGCAGCCAGCAAGTTCCTGGTGATATGCATGGAGCAGTATAGGAGGCAGGGACAGTGCTTCCTGGTGGATCCTGAGACCTAACTTCTAGCCCAGCATTCAGTTTAAATTTGATTAACTTTAAGTCTGTATTTCCCTGTGGTATATCTGGGTGTCCTCTGGGTCTCAAGGCTGCTGATAGTGGGACATCAGTCCTCAAGCCAGGTTAACTTGAAGCCCTACTTGCCACTGCAAGAGGCACTTTAGGGGGACAACTTTGGTTTCCAAAGGGGAGCTCTGCTCACATTACTGGTCCTCAGTTTCCCCACTGACCTGTAGTAATCCATTTCATTGGAAAGCTCAGGTACTGCTGCCATGGCTGTTTCAGAAACCTGTGTAAAGAGGAGAAAATCAGTGAGAACTGCCATGTCAGTTCCCAAAAGGATGGCCATCTTCTATAAGTTTTCCTCATAAGCTAATTCAGGGTATGCATTCAAAAATCTTTGAAAGAGTGAGCGAGTGTATGAAAGCAGCATCTTTTGATTTAGCACCTGCTAAATCAACCCCAAACAGCAGTGTATTGGATAGGAGCAGAGGGTTTGACACTGATTTCTCAGCTGTTAGACTATTTCACAAGTATATTTGGGAGTTTAGCCCAAAATGTCAGCATCAGGCAGAGGGGTGAGGGGAGGAAAGAGAGAGAGAGACAGACTCCCTTAGGACCTAGTAATGAGGAAGAGTTAGTTAAAAACTCCATGTTAGCTCTGCCGTTGTCTTCTGGTTATAACCAGGTGCTGTGCTGTCTGTTACTTCAGGGTACCCCTACTTGTTCAAGCCAGCTGCAGCTCCGCCCTGCTGTCCTTTCTGTGACATGCCTGGAGCTGAGTTCAGGCTGTCATGCCCCACCCCTGCCCCACCTATCCTGGATTAAAAAGATGTACATATACACAATGGAATATTACTCAGCAAATAAAAAGATAAACTCATGCCTTTGCAGGAACATGGATGGAGCTAGAAGGGATCATGCTCAGTGACATAAGGCAGAAAGAAATAGAAAAATACCAGATGGTTTCACACATGGCAGGAGTGTAAGGGATCAGAAAAAAAAGCAACTGTAATAATTAAAAATGAAAAACAACAAACAACTATAAACCAGAGACATTTTACGGAGGTGGAGAAGGGAATAGGATCAAAACTGGGGTGAGAAGAGTGCATGGGACTATAGTGATGGCACACAGTTGATTGCACAAAATGAAGAATGATACTAAAAAAGAAAAAAGAATAGAGGGTTGCTAAGAAAAAAAGAAAAGAAAACTCTACCTTAGCGATGGAGACGGGCTGGAGAGTGGTATCCCAGAGTTGGCTGTTGTGCCGTGAGGAGATGCTGGCTGTGAATGAATTTCTCTTTCACTGTTTTATAGCCTTCAAAAGCAGAAGTAGAGAGCTGAGAAAGTTCCTCTTTGGGTAAATGATTTCTAAACCATTTTGTTTTTTTTTTTTTTTAAAAAAAACAAAACATAAAAAGATTGATGGTATCTTCAGGGAGAGAATAAACTGAATTATTCTCCAATTCATGGAAAGACAAGTGTAGCGAAGTATGACACATTTCTGCAAGTGTGTCATCAGGCAAATATATTACTGATGAAGATTATTCAGATGGTGGCAATATTAAAATATGGGATTTTCCTAGGTTAGAAAAAAGTTTTAATTTAGGGTCTCTGGACAAAGGAGAGAATGCTCAGGACATACATCCATGTCCTCTCACCTGGTACTGAAATTTCGGGACCCTCCCTTAGATTATGGAGGACATGGACATGGAGCTGGTGCTGGATACATGGACATAATGGAGTGACAGTGACCTTTGTATTCTGTGTCCTCTATCCAGACCTGGGTCAATGACAGGAGCCACTGGGGAACATTTGACACCCCTTATATGGGACAGAGGAAATAAGTTGTCCAGGGGCCAGACTTCTGTAGGAGAATTTTGAAGACAAGTTTATTCAACGTTTTCAGACCAGATCCTGGTACCCTAGCTAATTGCATGTGAATCTCTATCACTTCTTTTAAAAAGTTTTTTAAACAAATATTAAATTTGGGGGACATTTTTTGTGATATTTACACATTTTTGTTACCCTCCATTAAATCACCTGTGGATCCCTACCAGTGTTTGACCAACAGTGGAACAGGCCTAGAAAGTGAATGTATTTGAGAAGGTAGTGAATGAATCAAGTTTTCAGGGTTTAAATCACTTTTTAAAATGCAGAGAAGATCCGTTTTACCTAAAAGAAATTTTCTGTTAATTATGAAAACTGGAATATTGTTTAATCTCCAACTGAGACTATATGCCTTCTTAACTCTAATGGTCATTAGATTTTATTTTATTCTCCAGCTTTACTGGGATATAATTCACATATAGCATTGTGTAAGTTGAAGTATGTAGCACAATGATTTGCTGTATGTATATCTTGCAAAATGATTACACAACGAGACTAGTTAACATAATACTCTTTATCTCACATAATTATTTAAATAGAATATCTGTAGAATTTCCTGATATATATGCATGTGACATGAGCATTCAAGATTTACTCTTAGCATGCAGATACGGTATACCTAATGATAGTCACCATTTCCAGAACTTACTCATCTTATAATTGGAGATTTGTATATTTGACCAATATCTCCCTATTTCCTCCAGGCCCTAGGCCCTTGACAATCATCATTTAGTTCTATCTCTATGAGTTTTTTTTAAGATTCTTCTACTAGGTCCTTTTTTTTTTTTTTAAGGTCCCACATGTAAATGAGATCATACAGCATTTATTTATTTTTTTTTAAGATTTATTTATGCATACAGAACTGGGGTACAGGTCAGAGGTGCAGGGGTGGTGAGAGGATTCACCGGAGACAGAGTGGGGAGCAGAATAGGCAAATTGATGAAGTACACTGTTGAGAGGAGCAGAGGGTAGGTCAGGAGAAGTCTGCCACACCATGTGGATCACCTCCTGGGTGGGCATGGGACTCATGCTGAAGTGGCTTTAGCTTCTTAGTGCTGTGCTTTAGCCTGCTGCGCCACCAGGGAGGGCCCTACAGCATTTATTTTTCTTTCTCTGACTTATTTCACTTAGAATAATGCTCTCAAAGTCCACCCATGTTGCAATGGAAGGGGTTTCTTCTTTCTTTCTTTTCTTTTTTTTTTGTGGCTCAACAATATATATAATATATAATATGTATGTATATCCATACACACATATTATCTTAATTCATTCTGTTGATGGACAATTAAGTTGTTTCTGTGTATTGGCCATTCTGGGTAAAGCTGCAGTGTATCTGGGAGTGACAATACCTTTTGACATAGTGATTTAATAGTTGGTTATAGGTAAGTAGAAGTCCTGGATCATATGTTATTTCTATCCTTTGAGTTTTTGAGCAACCTCCATACTACTTTCCCATAATGGTTGCATCAGTTTGCCCATAAACCACACAGTAGTGTTCCTTTTTTTCTACAGCTCACCAAAATTTGTTATGTTTTTGTTGAGGTATGAGGTGTTATCTCTTCATGGTTTGATTTAAATTTTCCCAGTGATTAGTGATGTTGGGAACTTTTCATGTACCTGTTGGCCACTTGGATGGTTCCTTAGAGAAATGTCTCTGCCCCTTTAAAATTTAGATTATTTTTATTATTATCTTGTTATTGAGTTCCTTATATATTTTGGATATAAATCCTTTATCTAATATATAGTTAGCAAATATTTTCTTCTATTAGTTACTTTTTTATTCTGTTTATTATTTCTTTTACTGTGCAGAAATTACTTAGCTTGATGTAGTTCCACTTGTTTATTTTTCTGTTATTGCCCTTGCTTTTGGTCTTGTATCCAAAAAGATTGTTGTCAAGACCAATGTGAAGGAGCTTTTTCCCTATTCTTCTGTGGGAGCTAAGTTTCAGGTCTTGCATATATGTCTTTGATTCAGATTAAGTTAGGTTGTGTGGGTGGTGTAAGATAGGGGTCTAATGGTCTAATTTTAGTCTTTTGTATGTGAATACTCAGTTTCCCCAACACTATTTATTTAGATTACCTTTTCTCCATTGATTAGTCTTGATACTGTTCTCAACTATTAGTCAACTGTGTATGTATGAGTTTATTTCTAGGTTCCTGGTTCTGTTCTATAGGTCTATTTATCTTTTTATGATTTTAGCATATTATTTTGATTACTATAGATTTATAGTTTAGTTTGAAATCATGAAGTAGAATGCCTCCATCTTTAATCTCTGTTCTCAGGATTGCTTTGGCTATTTGGGGTCTTTTGTGGTTCCATAGGAATTATCATTTTTTATATTTCTGTGAAATTTCATATTTCGCATATGAAAATTTCATATTTCTACAAAGTAAGGGATTTTGTTAGAGATTGCATTATGTCTATTGATGGCTCGGGTAGTATGGACATTTTAACAATATTAATTATTCTGATCCAAAAGTACAGGATTGCTTTCCAGTTGTTTCTGTCTTCTTTAATTTCTTTCAATGTCTTGTAATTTTCAGTATATATGTCTTTCATTTTCTTAGTTAAATTCCCTAATAATTTTATTACTTTAATGCTATTTGTTATTTAATGCTGTATTTCTTATGCTTTGAATTAGATTGTAAAATATTTTCCTTTTTAGATGTTTTGTTGTTAGTGTATAAAATGCACCAATGTTGTTTAACCAGTAGAGAGCCAGCCCAGGTTATGGGCACAGTGTAGCTTCATGTTTATAGAATGAATGAATGACCAGTTCATAAAAGATGCAAGGGGTCTAGAAATGGGAGCTTCCCCACCAGATTTGGCATACACACACGCGCACACACACACACACACACACACATTATAGCTCATTTGCAGCCCTGAATTGAACATTGTTCATTTATCTGATTATTTGAGGAGACTGGGAACTTTTTATGCATGGGACAGTGTCTGGCATTCAAGTCCAGGCAGTAAAATTGTGTTGCTAATTAGGTGATTAGGAATATGAGAGTATTTTCACCTAAGCATGTATCTACTGCATGCCAGGTACTGTGCTTACCCTGCATTGTCTGTGGGAGAGAGCCATTGATGTGTATAAGCATGAAGAAAATAGAGTCTGCTATGGGTTAAGGATGGCCCTATGGGCTACTTACCAAACAGCCTTTTTTTGGAAGGCAGACATATACTTTCCATCTTTGGTAAGCTCTATATTTCATGGGGAATCTAAGAGAAATGTTCTGCTCAATGTACCAGTTTTTTAAAAAATAAGGTCAGTAAGCAGTAATCACTTTCTATTTCTGAACCCTCATAAAATTGGATGCATGGCCTAATGGGTTCCTCTGTTTTGTTCCCGAGGATCTATTCTGCATATGAACCACTACACTATCTACACTGTAAATCAAATTGAAAGAATTGCCACCTTCTTCAAAGTCTTTATCCTGGGGTCAGCAGGATCTGGTGGTTCTGCAGTCTCTTCTTATTGAGACCACAGATACCCTCAATCGGTTGGTGTGATTTGGAACGTGCAAAGGTGAAAGCCAGTGATAGGAGAGGAGGTATGCAAGGAACTTGAGCCTCACTTTAAGTTAATCAGTTCTTTTTCTGGGACTTGAGATGGAGGTCAGAAATCTTGAATTAGCTTTACTTTGCCATCATCTAGTTATAACATTCTAGGACATTAGAATCTTTGGTCTCTAATGGTTTTCTGATGGGATCTAAGAGGACCACATAGATGAAGACACAATACCATTTAGATGTGAATAGTATATGAGGAAGCAGGGCCAGAGGAAGCAAAGTGACTGGTCTAATGTCACAGTATAGTTGAAATGGTACTATTGTTCAGCTACTGAGCCCCTATTTTTCTGCTTAATGAAAAATTTAAAACCATGGGGCAATGCCCCTTGAACTAATAGTCTCTCTAGTTCTGCCATGTTTTATCCTAGCCTTATAGTTTGTATTCAAAGCATGGCAGTTACCTTTTGATCTCAGGAAGTGAAACTTCTTGTCATCTAAAGCAGGAAGATTGCTCAATGCAAGTACTAAGTGTTGTCCATCCAAGGAAACTACTTAGACAACTTCTGTTATCCAATGAGCAGAGACATTTCACTGCAGATACATTTGCAGTAGGGGAGGGACTGGGCAAGTGACGATAATATAGATGGTGATGCAGGCACAAAGAAATGTAATAAACAGAAGTGGGGATGTTGGCAATGCCAGGATGTGGGGAGCTCCCACTTTTGGGGAATTCTTCAACTCTTAAGTCACTCAAGCCCTTCTTAACTTCCAGTAGCCCCCGACTTTGGTCATTCCACCAAGACAAGGAATTGGTATTTATAGAGTAGTAAGTGCCTTGATACTGCTTTATGTCTAATATTGGGCTTCTAGCCTCCC